TTGAATACCTCCTTCTTTTGGGAAGTCGGTCAAAAACCAGATTAATGAACAAACAGATCAATCAAATATGGTAAAGTAACAGTTATGATAATAGTTACCAAAGATAACAATAATATACAAGTTACCTTCGTCAGCTTTGGCGCGCTCGTCGTCGGGGTCGCGGCGCATCCACTTGCGCGCTTGTCTGAAGTTGCAGGCGGGCCGCGCGCCGCGCACCAGCGACCCCTTCTGCGGCTCCCCGCGTGCGCTCACACACCAACACACGTCTGCATAACACACATTATCTTACAAAAATGTAATTGAATGATGATTGTGGGTGTTATGTACCCGAAACTGAGAATTAATAGTCGAAAGTGCGACTTCTATTCTGGCTACCGACTGCAGTACATTATCATACTTCATACTAATAAATGCGAAAGTTTAGATGGATGGATGTTTGTTAGAGTTTGTAGCCTAAACAGCTGAACGGATTTAGATGAAATTTGGTATAGATGTAGAGGATAGCCTGGAAGAACACATAGGCCACTCACTTGTTTTTTTTAGTTCCACGCGGAAGTCGCGCGTAACAGCTAGTTATTTAAATAAATCAGTCGCATTCATACCGTCCTTTCATTTACACCCCTATCTAACTTTATAGCAGATTTTTTTTTTTAAAAATTGTTTTCCTTTTGGGTACAAAGTTTAAATAAAATAAATGTATAAAAAAAATCTTTGCGTTTCCACTGAAAACCTAGTTACTTTTTAGGACAGAAATCTTGCTATAATTTCTCTGCGGGATTTTATTCTTATCAGATTCAAGTTAAACCCTTATAGGTATTTAGAAATACATTGGTATATAAAAAATGGACTTAGAAGTTTCGATACTTCTTTCGGTTATAACAAATAATAGTCGCTTTCCGAGGCCTTCTATACATAAAACAAACAATTACCAATATGTGCCATGCACTGCACGGGCTGCCAGCCGCCGGCCGCGTCGCACTCGGGGATGAAACTACCCTTGCCGTACTTCTGCGTAGCCGCCTCATTCTTTTCACGAAGTCTCTCACAAGGACTCAATACTAGTAAATAAAAAAAGCTAATTAAAGAAAAATTAAGTATTGAAATTTTTATAGCTTTCCGTCAGTAGGAAGCCTTAAATGATGCTATGATGAAAACATACACGTAAAATGGAATTTGTAATGATAATGTTTTCGTTAATTTCTACGAATATAAACCAAAATATACACACTGCAAACATTTTGTTAAAAAGCAACCTATTTCTTGAACACAAAATAAAAGGATGATTGAGTGATATGTTTTTGGTGATACTACATCGGTCTGAACGATAATAAAATGACCTACGGGTAAGTGCTAACGACACAAAATTCTCTACGACTTGGATGGGATATTTTGTTATTTTCGTAGGGTTTAGACTGGAAATACTTCCCAAAATACTCAAGGTATTAATTACAAATCTATTAATTCAATGTTTTAACTGTACAAAATGTTAACCACTTTGATTAATGATCAAAAATGTCAACATTAATATAAAAGACACTTGCAAATCACAAATAATATTAAAGACACTTGACACGTGCTTGCTCGTGATTAGTTCCATTATAATGGGCACGTGCTCGTGTGATATAAAAAATAGACATGCCTCCGCTTTGGTCAACGATTTCTCGACTCTTCTCTTTTGTTAGTTTCGATGTTACCTCCTCCACTGTTAAAAGCAACATATTAAAAAAAATCAGGGATGATAAATTGCATATGTATTATAGGTAACGCAGTTTATTTTTAAAGCACAATTTTTATATGTAAACAAATTGAAAGGTAATTAAGAAAAAAATAGTATAGTATCGAATTTTTGCAAAATTATTATATCTTAGCAACTACCCATAAAAGATTTATCAAAGATGTAAGAGGCGTACATCTTTAATTAAACTACCGAACAACTGATTAGTCTTGCTTCGATTCATATGAGATTATACGGAAGTGCGCACACTACTCGATTTTTAGTTGTACAACTAAACAGTTGAATTGGCTGCAAATAATTGCAGAACAGTTGTGCGATAGTTTAGTCAAAGGTCCGCTCTAAACCCATGAAAGCCCTTTTACCGTAACACTTGAGCTAGGTAGAGATTCTTGAAAAATATGTTAGAATGTGTCATGTAGTATATTTTTTTTTAAATTTTAATTCTGGGTATAGTCTTATAAGCACTTTGCCCAGACAGAAGTTGCACAGTTGACAGTTGTATTCAATTGTTACGGAACTCTACTGCCTCGGTCTGGCGATAAGAATAGTGACTTTGTTTAATTATGTAACTATATCCGATAGAGTTGTAAAATTTCATGTGTAAATAATAAAGACAATAAAAAAAGCATATACCGGGACAGACGGCGTTGCACTCGTCCTTAGTGCGGAAGTTGTTGTGGTTGCCGGAGCAGCCGTGGTAGGTGAAGCGCTCGCAGCGGTTGCGCGCCGCGTTGAAGTGCCACCGCGACACGTTCAGTCCCCCGGACTCGCACGCGCCCTCGTCTTTGCTCTCGAAACACACCGTCCCTAACACGGATTGACATAACATTTTTTTTTAATTTAGTATAAACAAACTAGCAGCAGATCCCGTAAAGGTACTTGATCCGACGCCCATGGACATCTGTAACGCCAGAGGAAACACAAATGCGTTGCCTTTAAAAGAGAATGCTCTTTTCTAGAAGGCCCCTGTGATAATATACTGAGGACAGTATATTAGTACAGTGCTAGTACTGAAATATTCACTCTTATTGGTGCATAGAATGGACTGGATCAAGATATTACATGTTCATCAAGTAATAAAAATGTATCTATCTGATTATAGTATAACCTGGGAGTTTATTACTAAAAACTCCGACATGTGGTAAAGCCCTAATCTATTCTCTATAGATGCAAATCT